CGGGAGGGGTTTTTGTATCCCGGCAAAATTCCTCTTGAACCCGTCGTGGCCATGGAGTCTCGGCTGAACCCGGGGGACAGCTGACCTGCTCAGGGTGCAGAACCACCACGGTGAGTTTATTTTTAGAACCGGGCTTTCGTTATTTGGGGCTCGAGGAAGATCGATGGAGAGACTTTTCTTTCCCCCTTCCCGGTGCAAAATGCGGGCGAATATTTCGGGAGTGGGGACCTGACTGTTCCCCCTCCGGTTGGTGAGTGCCAGGATCTCTGCTGCTGGATGGGGTTAATTTAAAATGGAGCTGGACTAAGTGAATATGTGGCTCTGGGATCCGGGTCAGCACTTGGGAGCGGGAGAGGAGCTCTCCTCTTCCTCCTCTCCGGGGATGCACCTCCCGGAGAGAGGGAATCCCCGGCCGGCATCCTGTGCTCTGCCATGTCATTAAGGAGTTCCCCTGACAGCCTCATGGATTCTCCTTGTGCTCCCGGTGTCTGCAGCTCGTTCCTGGGCAGTCCCTTTTGTTTTGCAAAGACAGACTCTTCCCAGCTCTTCTGCTGGCTTTTATTTTAATGGATTTATTGGTTTGGAGCTGGCTAATTGATGGGGAATGTTGGCTCCTGAGCTGGCTGTGTGCCATGTGACGTTTAGGGCTGGCTTATGCAATTTGATGTTCTGTAGGACGGTGCTTGTGTTCACAGATACATTAAACCCATTCTTAAATTATTTTAAACCTCTCACTCAGTTGGGTTTAGCGGAATCAGGAGGTTGCTTTGACTTTTCCTCCTCCTCACACACATCCATCATCCAGTTTTGCCTAAAAACCAGGAAATGATGCTCCCTTCGTTCCAGATTTAGTGCTGGGAGCTGATTTTCCTGGGATGGAGGCAGGGTTACCCTGCTGCAGGATCTCAGGGTCTCCTCCCTGCTCCTCAGGCTCCCCCGTCGCGCTCAGTCCCAACTTTCACCACTGGCAGCCAACAGATAGAGCTGATTTTTGTTTTTTTTTTATTTCAAATCGTCATTTCCTCCTTTTTTCAATGTTCCAATCCATGGCTGGATCCCACCTGGAGAAGTGCCAGTCTCTGCTGTGTCCCCCTCAGGGACAGGGGGGTCTCTGTGCCCTCTGCCAGCGTGGGGACAGGCGGGAGCAGCAGCTGGAGAGCAGAAAGGGGGATACAGACACCAGCCCTGCCTTGTGCCTTCCTCCCATGGAGGTCTGCTGGGAGCTGGGGTGCTTTTGGGGTGATGAGTGAAGTCTGGGATGTGCTTTGGAGGCAGGTGGGCTCGGGAAGGTGAGGGAAGACCTCATTCCCTCATCCAGCTTTTTCGTGCCGGGGCTCCTGCCTGGCGCAGGCTCGGCACGGGAGCAGGTGCCAGCAAGAGAAGAGCTGTTTTCCATATTTTCCTGAGCCTGGTTGTCACCTGGTGCCTCCAACCTGATGAGGTATTTCCTTATGGATGGATTGCCACGGGAGGAATTGTGCTCGGGGCTCTCTGGAAGAACCGGGAGCGTGTCGGTGGGAGCCGTGCCAGGGAAGGGTTAACAGAAATCCCTGTTCCCTGCTGTCCTATTGCATCCTGACACTGTGCAAAGTAGGTGGATAATTCCTTGCTCGCTTTTCAGGAAACCCCTGTGGTGGACAGCCCTCATTAATTGTTGCTGGGAAACTGCTTTGACGTCACCGGAGCAGTTCCCTGGTCCTTGGATGGAGACAGGAATAGCTCGTGCTGGGGAAGGCAGGAGTGGTGTGAGATGGAGCAGGGAGCTCTGCCGGGGATCCTCATCCTGGATTTCTTCCCTTTCTCCCGTGGTTCTGCCCAGGGACCCTCAGGAACTGTCCCCAGGCCCTCAGTTAGGGGTGAGCAGGAGCCCTTCCTCCTCCAGGGCTTGTTCCGGGTGGTTCCTGTGACCCTTCACTTGTTAACTCTGTTGGTTTGGGGGTTTTTGGTGTTGGTTGTAGTTTATTTCCTCCCTCAGAGTTTGTAAAGAAGTGGTGGGAGGGTCCTTGCCTGGATCCCTGCAGCTCCCAAAAGTCAAAGGGAAGGAACCAGCATCGCTGTTTCCTTTCTTTTGACCATCAAACCAATGATGTCCCTTTTCCCACCCGAGGGGAGAGCAGGGCTGAGGTGGCCCCTGGTGCTGGGAGCTCCAGGCTCAAGGCAACCTGGAACTGAGACTGTTTAATCCTGCCTCCCTCAGAGAAGTGGTTCTTAGCACCATTTAACTCCTGGGATGTGTTTATACACCTTTTATTCACCTTTATATTGGGTTCCTGGGTATCCCATTTTGGCAGTCCTGGCACTGGTGGTGTCACACTCCTGGAATGCAGTGAGAGCAAGTTGACACCTCTCCTGAGTTTAGTCCTCACCTTGGTGGATGGAGGTAACAAAATATCCAAGTATTTTATTCCCCCTGAAATTGTCTGGTGCTTTTCTTTGTTCCCCCAGCAAAACCTCCTGATGCTCCACAGAATTTGCTCAGACTCTTGTCTCACCTGCATTCCCTGTCTCCTTGTTTATATATAAGCTTTTTCCCCCCCCTTTTTCACCTGGAGGCAAACCCTCCCATCTGCATCACAACTTCAGAATTTGATGTCATGTGGGGGTGGAGATTAAGACTTAAAGCCATGACTAAGCACTGGGGCTCCGTGAGGGCAAAGATGTCAGGCCTCCTGTTGGGAATTCTGCTGGGTTTTGTCGGAAGTGGAAAAGTAGTGAGGAATTAAAATCCTTCTCCAGCAATGGAGAGAGTTTGGGAGAGGTGGCTTTGAAGTTGGAGCTTATGGGTCCTGCTGGTTTTGGGGGTTCTCACCCTCTGACTGGGAGCTGCTTTCTCCAACAGGAGGGAAGGGAAGTGAGCTCCAAAGGCTCTTTACCTGTTGGAATTCCAGCCGAGCCTGCAGGTTTTCCCTGGGGTGCTGGGGCTGCTGCAGAGTTGTTTTGCCCGAGTGGAGCCCTGGAGGGAGCTGTTTCGGGAGCTGTTTCGGGAGCTGTTTCGGGAGCTGTTTCGGGAGCTGTTTCGGGAGCTTTGGTTGCCTTAACAAATCCTCCCATCCCCGCCTCCTGTCGCACGTGGCACAGCCGGGACTGTCCCGGCCGCTGCTCCCCGGCCGAGGAGGAGCCTCTGGGGTGATCCCCGGGCACGGAGGGAGCGGCAGAGCCCGAGGGTTCGTGCCTGGAGCGGCAGCCCCCTCCCCACCCCACCGCCCCCACTTTTCCCCCTGCAAACCCTTTCCCGCAGCCTCGGCCGCGCCGGGGGGGGGGAACCTGAGTCACCCCCGCCCTGTTGCTCCTGGCAACAGGGCCCGTTGCCATGGAGCTCGGCTTCCCATTGGCTGCCGGGCAGCCAATCAGCGAATTGCTTGCCAGAGCATCACTGGTACCCAGCGGGGCAGGGGGTGGGTGCTGCTGCCCCCAAAACCCGACCCCGGGACGGGGCAGCACTGGGGGGCTGGGAAAGTCCTGGAGAAGTTTGGGCTGGGAGGGACCATAAAGGCCACCCCGTCCAACCCCTGTCCTGGGGACACGGCCCTGTTCAATGTCCTTTGGAGGGAGTCTGGGAAAGCCAAAGCAGACCTGTTTGATATCCAAGGGGAATGGAGGGGAGGGAGTCAGGAATCTTGTCTTGGAAGCCAGGGGGGAAGGCTGTGGTGTGGACACTGTTCCTGTGGCCTTGGCTTGGGCAGGGGCTGGGAAAGTGAAGCCACTCACGCTTGGAACCATGGAATATCCTGAGTGGGAAGGGACACACAAGGATCATGGACTCCAACTCCTGGTGCTGCACAGACACCCCAGCGATCCCACCCTGTCCCTGAGGGCATTGTCCAAACCCTCCTGGAGCTCTGGCAGCCTTGGGGCTGTGCCCACTGCCCTGGGGAGCCTGGTCAGTGCCCAACCAGCCTCTGGGGGAAGAACCTTTCCCTGGGATCCAGCCTGACCCTGCCCTGGCACAGCTCCAGCCCTTTCTTGGTTCCTGTCCCTGCTCACAGGGAGCAGAGATTGGAGCTGCCCCTCGGGAGGAGCTGCAGACTGGGATGAACAAACCCAGTGCCCTCAGCCACTCCTCGTGTGGCCCCTCCAGACCCTTCCCCACCCCTGTGTCCTCCTTTGGATCCTCTCCAACAGCTTTAGATCCTTTCTTATATTGCAGCACCCGAAGCTGCCCCCGGGACTGGCGGTGAGGCCGCCCCAGAGCAGGGCAGGACAACCCCACCTTCAACCACCTGTTTCTTTATCCCTGAAAGGTGAGAGGCAGAGGCTGAGCCACCTCAGACCCTCCACCTGCACCTCAGAGCCTCCCTCCTGCCCCTCCTGAGCCGTGTGTAGGCAGCCTCTCCCAGCAGCCATATGTCTCCTTTGCACCCTCATTTAGCTCAGGAGCGGGTCTGTTCCCGGAGAAACAAGGCCAGCAATGGAGTTTATTTAGCAGGAGCTTCCTGCCTTTCCCAGATTTGCTGTCGGATCCATCCAGGCTGGGAATGTGGGACTTCTCTTGCTTTTATTCCCTGCCCAGCCGGGAGCTGCTGCTGCTGCATTCCCAGGGCTCGGCGGCTGCAAAGTGCGGGTGGGGAAAAGGCAGCAGAGGTGGAATTCCATGTTCCCCTTCTGGAGTGAAGAGGAGGATATGAATGTGTCCGGGCTCCCTGGCCCGTGGCCAGCGTTCCCAGTATGCCACTGCTGGCCCAGCTGCTTTGCCAGCCCTCAGCTCGACAGCACCTCACCCACCTTCTCCCTTCCACCCTCTCCCACCGTTGCTTCCTTCTCTTCCCTGACACAGATTTTTGTGGCTTCCCTGACGTCGCATCCGCGTCGTTTTTTTCCTCTCCCGAGGCCCAGCTCAATCCCACCCCCCCCTTCCCCGAGTCCTCTGAACTTCCCCACCCTCTGCAAGCCTCTGTCTGTCACCAGCTCGTGTTTGCCACCCCCTCCCACGGCCCACGGCTGCCCGAGGGAGCGGGGCTGATTCATTCATCCCGCAAGGAATCCTCTGGGAAGCAGCAGAGCCCAGATCTCCCCTGAGTTTTGTGTGCAGGGAGAGCTCCTGGAGGCTGCCTGGCGGGCACGGAAGCTGCAGCAGGAGGGGGCAGCTGATAAATGTCAGTTCCGTGGCTCTGAGTTGTCGTTTCTGGGAAAAATCTGATGATATTTCCCTGTGTGGTGCTGGAGTTCCTTTGCAGCAGGATGGGAGAAGATCCCGTTATCCTTCTTAAATTTGGCTGAGCTGTTTGGCTTGGGGGGAAAAGCTTGTTGGAGGGTGGGTGGTGCAAAGGGAATGAGCTGTACAAAACCTGCTCTTCTATTTGAGTGTCGCGTGTGCAGATCCGGTGCCACCTCCTCCTTCCCTTCCCCAAATCTGCTCCAGATCCTCCTGGGTTGTTTAGGCCCCCAGCCTGGGCACGAGGCTGGAGTTTCCTACACTCTGGAGTATTCTGGGGAGGGGAGAGGCAGAGTTCACCACCTTCACCCCCTGCATAATCCAGACTCCCACAAAGGAGGCACATCAGGCAAGTGCTCCCTTTTCCCTTCCTGACCCAATTCCTGCTGGAGCGCCGAGCACAGCGGGATTCCCTGGGGTGGGACTCCTCACCCTGCACAGCCAGCATCCCTGGGAACACCTCAGCCTGCTGGGATGAGGCCAGGCCCCTGCAGCTGGAGGATGGATGCTTTCCCTGCCCCCTCTTCCCATGAATTTCATGGGATATTTCCCACTCTCTGAGGTGCTGCTAAGCCTTGGCTTAAGTAACTTTTCCCTTTCCTGGTTTTCCCATCCCTGGCTCTGGACTGGCAGCAGTGAGGGAACAGCTCATGGGAAGCCTCGGGCAGGTGGTGGTGGGGTGAGGGAAGCTGAGGTGGCCGAGCTGCCTCCTTGTGTTGTGGGGGCTGGGATTTGGGGAAATAACCAGGTTTTTTGGTTGTTTGCCCTGGGGCAGAGCACAGCTCAGGTTCCTGGAATTTATTTCACCTGCTGGATGTTTGTTGGTTTAGGGCTGCCCTCGGTCTCTCTCTACACCAGTCACCTGCCTGGGGACCTCTCTCTGCCTCAGGGCCTTTGTCCAGCCCTGCTGGTGTCTCCAAAATCCTGGTGAGATCCACAGAGCTCCTGCCAGGTCCCCTCAAACGGGGGCTGCACCCAAGGGCTGAGTGGGGGGGCTTCAAACGAGCGCTTGGTTTGGGGTCTGCCCACAAGGCGGGTTCCAGGGAAGTTACAGCCTGGATGTGCAAGAGTTTGTGTCCAGGGAGGACCTCCCTCCACCCCCTGACTCCCTCCCTGTCGTGTCCTGTGCCCTCTCCCGCAGGTGCCCGGCGCTGCGTCAGAGGGCTCCGAAGATGTCCAACAGCAACACGGCACAGGAGTCCCTGGAAATTATGAAGGAATCGGAAAAAAAGGTGGTTGAGGAATCTGTGAACAAAACCAAATATGTATCCAGGTCACCAAGCAAGGAGGAGGCGGAGAAGGATGGGGGGGAGGAGGTCAACGTGCGCCAGGAGTCTCAGGTGAGTGTGGACGAGGAGAATTGGGCCCTTCCCTGCTGCTTCCTGTCCCTTCCCAAAGGGACACGAGGCTTTTCCACGGGGCCACCACACTGTGCAGCCTTCCCAGCCTGCTCCCTGCCTCTTTAGCTGGGTCTGCCCTGTGCAGGCTGGGATAATTGAAATATTCCCTGGGGACACTCGTGCTTCATCCCCCTGTCATGATCCACGGGATCAGAACCCCCTTTGTGTCCCGGGAATGGCAGAAAACTTCCAGGTTAAGCTTCCTGCCTTCCCTTCCCTTCCCTTTCTCCACAGAGGCGAACGTCGAGTCACGGACACGCCAGGAAAAGAGCCAAGGTAGGACCTGTCCTGACATCCTGATCTTCTTTGGGCTCTTCTGAGCTGAGCCCTGATCCCAGCCCTAGGATGCTGCTCCCAGGCCTTTCCTGTCTCCAGAAGCCACATGGAGCAGTTGATGGTTCAGGACAGGGATTTCCATGTGCTGGACAACATGGAAACGGGGGAAAGGCTGGAATTGCTCTGGCTGAAGATCAGAGAGTGCAGGAATTGAGGCAGGGAACTTCTCACTTGAAGTGTGGTTCAAAGGCTGAGGGAAGAAAACAACTGATTGCTCAGGGATTCCAAGCCATTGTGTGTCCCAGGATACCCCTGGATATTCTGTTGTTGACCAGTTTAATTGGGAATGGCTGCACGAGTGGCCTGGGAATGCCACCGCAGGAGCTCGGGTGTGTGTTGGCTGAGGTGTCTTAACCACCCTCTTTCTTTTCCTTCTCCAGTCTAATTCAAAGCTTAAACTGGTCAGGAGCTTGGCTGTGTGTGAAGAGTCCTCGGGCCCCTTCGTGGATGGGCTGCTGGAGTCCCAGGTAGGCCCAGAATGAGACAAATTTGGGAGTGTGGAAGCCCAGAACATCCACGTCTTGCTAGAACTGACGTTGTGTCCAGGGCCAGTGCCTCGGAGAGCCAGGAAATTCCCACAGGAGCTGGCTGGGAAGGAAGTGGCTGTGCCTGGGACCCCTGCTCGTGGGTGTGGAGGCACCTCAGAGCCTGCCCAGGGCTCCCTGGGAGGAGGGTGGGGAGGGACAGCTCTGTTTGCTCTCACAGAGAGTTTTCTTATGGATTCTTATGGATTGTCTGTGGTCTGAGACCTTCCCGTGGTGCTTCTCTCAGCCACCAGCATCTCCAGCCACAGCCAAGGCTCAGGGAGTGTCTGAGGGGCTCCAGCCTGCTTTGTTCTGTTCCAGGACATCATCCAGCTGCACGTGAGCTGCCCCTCGGACAAGGAGGAGGAAAAATCCACGAAAGATGGGGGGGAGAAAGAAGAAAAAGACAAGAACAAAGAAAAAACACCAAGGAAGATGCTCTCTCGAGGTCAGGTGCTGGTTTGAACTGGGGAGGTGTTGGTTTGGATGGGGCAGGTGCTGCTGGGACAGACTGGGAAATGTGGGAACATCATCCCTGTAAAGACACACAGACACAGCCCTTCCCTTCTTCCTCTTCCTCCTTCCCCCTTTCTCCTTTCCCCTTCCTTCTCCCTTCCCTTCTCCTTCCCTTCCCTCTGGGCTGTTGCAGTGCTTTGTTAATTTGTTCTGCTGCTGCTGCTGCTGTTGTTTCAGATTCCAGCCAGGAATACACAGACTCCACCGGAATAGATTTGCATGAATTCTTAGTAAATACACTGAAAAAAAACCCACGGTAGGTGCTGGGCAGTAAAACAGCTCCCTGAGGGGGGGATGGAGGGGATGACTCCCACTCCTGGGGGTGGGTTGTGTCCCTGTCCAGGGGTGTTCCCATATCCTGGGGGATTGCAGCACCTCCAGACAGCACCTGCAGGTGTGTTTGTGTTTTCCTTCTTGGAATTCCAAGAGCGTTACCAGTCCGGGGGCAGTGGAGAAATAAAAAGCATAGTGGTAATTTATCTCCTGTTTCATTCCAAACATGGAATTTTGTGTGATGGAGAGAGAGAGAAAGAAAAATGGCTTGTTTGGATGCAGTGGAGGAGTCTTGATTGTGTTAAACCCCGTTCTGTAAGTGATTGTCAAATACCAACCTGCAAAGGAGCTGCTGTGGCAATAATCCACAGAATCCAGGGAAAAGCTGGCATGGGAATAGCAAAGCTGGAGTCACCACCAGTGGAGCTTCCAGCAGAGCAGGGATTCAGGCTTTCCAAAGCCAAGCACTGTTAGCAAAACAACCTTAAGCTGAAAAAACCTGGTGATTAATTTAGGATGTCTGAAAAACGTGGAGTGTTTCAGCCCGTTCCCCTGGGGTGGGTGAAGCCAGGCCGGTGCTGTCACTTGGGCTGGGTGTTTGTGACTTTCTCTGCTGCAGGAGAGGGGCTGGGAGCAGGGAAAGCTGTTCCACTGCCCCTGAAGTGGCCTTTTCCTCTCCCTTGTCTCGCCAGGGATCGAATGATGCTGCTCAAATTGGAACAGGAGATCCTGGAGTTTATTAGTGATAACAAGTAAGTGAGTTCGTGCCGAGCAAAAAGGGGTTTGTGACTGTGGAGCTGAGGAATTTGGGCTCCCAGGGGGAGAAGGGAACATCCCCTGTTCTCTTGTACATCCTGATATGACACTGCTTGGAATTGTAACCCTCTCCCTGCCTCTTCCCAGCAATCAGTTCAAGAAGTTCCCTCAGATGACCTCGTACCACAGGATGCTGCTGCACAGGGTCGCTGCCTATTTTGGGATGGACCACAACGTGGATCAGACTGGGAAGGCTGTCATCATCAACAAGACCAGTAACACACGAATGTAAGGGGTTGGGAGCCTGCCCTTTCCCTTTGCCCTTGCCTTTGCCCTTTCCCTTTGCCCTTTCCCTTCTCCCTTCCCTTCCCCACAGCCCAGGGATGCTCCAGAGCAGGATGGGTTCCACACCACACTTTTTTGCCTCCTAAGAAGGGCAGGGCCCCTCTCAAGAAGAATCAGGTCATGGAATGAATAAATAGGGAAGATCCTTCCCTTCCAGCCCTCCCTGGCTCTCCACAGTTCCCAGAGAAGGGCAGGAGCTCTCCTTGCCATCAGCCAGAGCCGGAATTTCACACAACAAACATCTCTGCATGTTCTGGGCCCGTTTCTTCCCTCCTAACAAGGGCTGGTTTTCCTGCAGCCCCGAGCAGAGGTTCTCTGAGCACATCAAGGATGAGAAGAATGCAGAGTTCCCACAGAGGTTTATCCTGAAACGGGATGACACCAGCATGGATCGGGATGATAACCAGGTGAGGGGGGTCTGCATCCCTTGGGAAAGTCAGATGTGACCTGTCTAAGATGAGAACAACTCCCAGAATTCTCTTGGGTTTCCTCCAGTAACATTTAATAGGAGCTCCCACCCCACCCGAGCAGCAGCATCTCAATATGAAAACTTCCAAATACCATGGAAAGGGATAAAGAACTGTGGGGGTGCTTCTCCATACCCTGAAATCATCTGGGGGCTGGGCCAGGCTTTAAGGTGAAGCCTTTTGCCAAGGTTTCCTTGGAAATGCCCTGAGCTGAGTGTTGCCAAGTGTGTCTCCTCACCTTTCCTTTAAAAGACCTTAAAGATCATCCAGTCCCACCCCAGGCCACAGGCAGGGACACCTTCCACCAGCCCAGGGTGCTCCAAGCCCTGTCCAACCTGGCCTTGGGCACTTCCAGGGATGGGGCAGCCACAGCTTCTCTGGGCAACCTGTGCCAGGGCCTGCCCACCCTCCCAGGGAGGAATTTCTTCCCCAAATCCCACCCAGACCCAGTCCCATCAGCCCAGCTCTGTCCCGTGCTCTGGGACGTGTTCCTGAGTCTCAGTCGGGGTCAGGAGCTGTTTGCTGCAGTCAGTCCCAGTTTGTGGTTTCCCTGTGGTGCCACCCAGGGTTGCAGCTGCCCACGGAGCTCAGAACCCACGAGGGAGCAGGAATGTTGGCACGTGCTCCAAACAGTGGCCTTCAGCTTTCCTCCCTGGTGATATTCCAGACCTCTGGATCAGGCAGAGTTCAGGCAGGGTGGTTGTGCTTGAGGCAGGAGGTGGATGGATGTCCAGGAATGATCATCCCTGGATGCCTGTGGGATGCTCATCCCTGGACACAGGTGGGTGCAGAGGCAGAGGCTGGGTCACCGCTCCCAGGCACCACAATCCACCTCCTGCCCGACATTCCCAGCAGCTCCCCCTGCTCCTGCTGGCAACTGCTGACCCCTGAGCTGTGTTTGTCCCTTCAGATCAGACTCCCCTTGCAGGATGGGAGAAGGAGCAAATCCATAGAAGAGCGAGAGGAGGAGTATCAGCGGGTCAGGGAGCGGATCTTTGCACGGGAGGTAAGTTTGGATCCCTCACCTGCCAGGAACCTCCCGGAGCTTTGGGGCAGAAGGTGGCCTTGAGTGTGCCAAAGAGGTCAGATCTCACTGTTGCTTTTCCCACCGATTTCCCAGTGGTTTTGGGATCTGCCATTGAATTCCAGCTCCCAGCAAAGGTGTCTGAGATGTCGGGGTAGAGGAGCCACACCTGCACCCCCCAGTCTGCAGCTTCCCTAAAATTTCAGGGAGCAGCAGAGGTGACAGAGGAGGCAGTTCTGCTCCTTGCTGCCCCAAAGATTACAGGTTTATGCAGTGGCAGTTTTGGGATGACCAGAAAACCAGTTGCTGAACCCAAAAGGAGCAGCAGCTGCATCTCCCCAGTGCTGCAGCTTCCACCTCCTGACCCAGCAGTGCAGGGCTCTGCCTTTCCAGGAGGAATGTGGGCCCTTTCCAGGAGGAATGTGGGCCCTTTCCAGGAGAAATCTGCACCTTCCCTGGGCTCAGGGCCTGCTCACTCTCCAGCCAGGGGTGGTCAGGGATTTGTCTTACCTGCACAGGCCCAAAGTCCTGGCTTAGGGCAGGGGCTGTAGGACAGCACAGAGTGGGATGTCCTGACTCCTGCTCAGTGTCCTGGCCTGAGCCAGCTTTGCCTCTGCCTTCCAGAGGCAGGGATGACCAGCATGGGTCAGGCTGGGCTGGCCTTGAGCCCACTGCCTGGTTTTCCTGGCAATAAATGTCACATGGAGGAAGGTGCCACCAGAGCTGCCTCAGAGCAGTGGAGGAGGGAGCTGAGGACTCAGATTTGAGAGATCCTGGGTCGCAGGTGCCAGGGAAGGTTCCCAAGGGCCTGGATGGAGATCCACAGGGATGAGGAGGCTCAGCACCACACCTGAGCGACCTGTACCTGCTCACAACACACCCCGTGTCCCAGCCCCACCCTTTGAAACCACCTGGGGTCGTTCTTTCAGAGCCACTAAGTCTCTTTTTTCTTTCCTTCCCTTCCCACCTCCGTGGTCGCGCTCCCAGTCTGGCCAGAACGGATTCCTCACGGACAGCAGGTGAGTGCTGCCCAGCACCCCGGGGGTGTCCCCAGAGCCCTGAGTGCTGCCCAGCACCCCGGGGGTGTCCCCAGAGCCCTGCACGGCTCTGAGATGATGCTTTTCTCTGGTGTTGACTGGCAGGCTCTCCACGGAAGGCTTTGCTTGTAGCTCTCCCACACAGAGGCAGATTTTTAGGGATCTCTCTGTGGTTTATTTTGCCCCCTGTCCTGCTGGAGCAGCCCCCCCATCAGTGGATGCCCGTGGAGTTACTGAAGGTGTTTTCTTTGCAACATCAGTTTTGAGTCCTTGTTTGGCTGGTTCATCAATTAAAAAGGAGGGTGGGAATGGCAGGGAGGAATTCCAGCAGTTTTCAAACCATTCCACCTCTTGTTTCCCAAAAGGATAGGAAATCCCTGCCCTTACAGTGCCAGGATCAGCATCAGGATCAGGCAGGGCTGTCCCTAATCCTGGATTATCAAGGCTGGGTGACTTAATGGTGGCAGTGAAGTGGCTCAGGCTCCATCTCAGCCAGAGGAGCTGCTGAGGGCACTGGGAACACGTTTGAGCAGCGTGTTCTTAGGAAGCAGTTTTCCCATGGATGAAAGGGCTGGAGTCAGGCTGGTGAGTCACCTGGCACAGACCCCGCTGCCAGAGGCTGCTGAGGGCTGAGGATAAAGGATGGGATGAAAAGGGAGAGTCTCATCCCTGCTGTGCTCTGCCTTCCCAGGCAAAGCTCTGGACACGAGGCAGCTCAGTGTGGGACAGGACAGGAGGATCTGACGGGTCAGGAGCAGCTTTGTCCCTCTCCTCGGGCTGTCACCTGCCTGAGGCTGTCCTGGAAAATCCAGTGTCCTCAGCACAGTCACAGGGGCTGTGTCCTGGAGTCTGCCCGTGGCAGGGGTGTGCAGGGCAGGGGGGGCAGTTCTCAGTCCATGGGGTTGGAGTAAAACTCACCCAGAATGTGGCAAAAGCCCCGTTGCTGATGTGGCTGCAGCTCTGGGAGCTGAGCTCAGCCAGGGCTGTGCCAGGGGCTTCCCTGCCAGTGGTGCCCAGGCCCTGAAGAGCTCAGAGAACCTGCCTTTGGGGTTCCTCTGGATGGGAGAGGGAGGATTCGTGGGCCTCAGGACCATTTCGAGCTCTTTAGGGATATAACCACTGCACTGCTCTTCCAAGAGATGGATTTTTGGCTCTCACATGCTCCCAACAGCCCAGGACATCACCTCAGGAGTTCCAGGCCTCTCTTTTCCCCTCCACAACTGTGTGGAGCTGCTGGTGGGCTCAGCAGCTCTTCCAGTGTGGCATTCCCCTGGGAAAGCCCAGGAAGCCATTCCTGGGACAGACCAGGCTCACTGCTTGGGATATTGTTGTGCTGATATTCCCTGAAGTCCTGCTGTGGCCAGACCTGGCCTGGGCTGAGGGAGGGTGATCAGTGGGGGTACAGCTCTGGGTGCAGCAATATTCCAGTGTCACAGAATCCTGGAATGGTTTGGGTAGAAGAGACCTTAAAACTCATCCTGTTCCACCCCCTGCCATGGGCAGGGACACCTTCCACTAGCCCAGGTTACTCCAAGCCCTGTCCAACCTGGCCCTGGACACTTCCAAGGATGGCACAGCCACAGCTCTGTGCAAACTGTGCCAGCTGGGCAGAAATCCTCCCAAGGGCTGGGGTGGGAAGTGGTCTCTAAGATCTCCATTTGCCTTGTCTCCAGGCCTTTAAAAGCTCCCTGAACTGAGACAGGGAGGGCTTTAGCACAGAATCCTGCTCTGATCCTGCTGGGCCCCTTCCATGGCTGTATCTGGCTGGAGAAGGGGCCAGGAGCCAGGGGAGACCCACAGCCCCAGGGGAGACCCACAGCCCCAGGGGAGACCCACAGCCCCAGGGGGCACCCACAGCCCCAGGGGGCACCCACAGCCCCAGGGGTGACCCACAGCCCCAGGGGGCACCCACAGCCCCAGGGGGCACCCACAGCCCCAGGGGTGACCCACAGCCCCAGGGGGCACCCACA